AGCAGTCTGGCGCCAAATGGTTTGAAATTAAAGGAGGAAGCAATCATACTGTATAATCAAAAAGTGGAGGTAGAAGTTTGCACCAAAGGTACGACCGGTTAAAACCCAAGTGGCGATGGAGCGTCGTTAAAATGTATGGAAAGGTCTTAAAAAAGGTCTTCAAAGGTTTTCATTTGACTTCAGGATTCCTGCCATATTACCTGGAGTATCCTTTCCAACACATGCTTCGTTGGGTAGCAGCGTCATGCTCCTGGAGTGAAAAGATCTGTTTTCGTAAATCAGGAAGAGGTTTGCTGTTAAAATGCAAATTTAAAGCACCCTGGAGCCGTGAATCAGGAGTCCTGCGCCACGTGGTTCCTGATTTCGAAGACCCGCCGCTCGCCCCGCACGCGTGACGTGCAATACCCCGAGACTCGCGGGCCGCCCGCTACCGCGCACATATTGCCAATTAGTTCCACACACGCCGACCCACCCGCCCGGCACAAGATCCGCAACCCGGACCCGAACACGCATATATATAGTAAAGGCAGTGAACAAATCGTCAATTATTTAACACACGCAGTTGCCAGTGTTTGGCTCAAAAAGCCTGGGAGGCGTTGGCTAATTTTCTCCATCTAGATGACACCAAAAGCCCTCCCAGATGTTGGATTTCGCTCTTTGAGGAAGATTTATTTGAAAATGCTGTATTCTCCGCTAGAGAGCTTCACCTCAAGCCATTCAGAATGTGGCCGCGCTCAAGCACAGATAGAGCGGCTGCAGAGGTTATGATAATGCCTCCGGTCCCGCGGGGGGAGAGGTCTGAGGATTTAAACATTAAACTAAAGTTATTGATGGTATTGTAAATATGAGTTATTATGCAACACCCCGCAACCCGACCCGCATCGATCTTTGTTTACCCAGAACCGAACCCGGAAAAAGAGCGTTTGAAAAAATACCACCCGCAAATCACCTTTTTTGCGGGTCACCCGTCGGGTACCCGCGGATACCCGACCCGATGCAGGACTCTGGCGTGAATGCTTCTTTTCTTCTGCTTCCCAGTGAAACTCTTCTCACTTTACCGTGTGAAGTCTGTGAGCTGAGAGGACAAGCCGCCCCTCAATTCTGTTTCTCTTATTCTGTGTACGCTCATTCATCAGAATCAGTTTTCCTCTATTATTCCCGCAGAGGGGGAAATATACAGTGTTACAGCAAAAGTGACAAAAAGCAAACAATTAACGAGTTAATGCACACAATAAAAATAAATACGGACAAATCAAATTAACGTATTAAGGTTTGAGAAAAATGCTTATGGTTATAATTAGCATAACAGATGAATGTAGTAGTGTCATTCTGTAATCTGTACATCTTGGCCCCGCCTCTCGGTCTGGAAGTGGTTTTCGGGGAAAGATATCGACTCTTTCTCTTCAGACAGGGGAGAGGCGACGGGGAGAAGTGTGCCTGTGAGTCGGTGATGATGTTTTTGATGCTTGTTGATGTTCAGCCTCCGCCCGTCGCTCTCCCCCTCTCTCCCTCGTCCCCCTCTCAGCGATCGGCTAGTGGTTTTCCATCCGTTTTTCCAAAAGCTCCATTGATTGTGTTCTTTGTATCTCGGAGGCCCGTTGGCGTTAGCTGTGACACGACGCTGACAGAAAAACACTGAGTCATGACGGCGCTGAAACACACAAAGCGCCAGGCCTTTGTCTGCAGCCCTTGTTGTTTTTTAGGTTCCTGCTTTGTCACAAAACTTTTAGGAATTTGTCAGGTTATTTTTCCCGACTGCCCAACAGGCAGAGATTTCTTCTGATGTTTATTTTAAGGAACCGGAACACACTTCAAAAAGATAATTTTCTTTTGTACTCTTACAGGAGTGACACTTTAAATGCTACTATTCCTGTCGCACGTTTCTATTCATAGGCTTGTTTGATCTCTTGTCGGTGATTTGGATATTCAGAGTTAAATGTAATCCTTACATGGAATTGTGGATTATTTTAAACATATGAACATTAATATGATTGCCTAATCTACCAGGGTCGGCTGTTTTTAAAGGAATATTGTGTTTTTTACTATTGCACCACATGTGTATTAACTTGCTTCAGCTATTATAAATTCATTTTATTTGTATAGCAGCCTTTGAACCATCTTAACAATGTGTTAAACAACAGTCAAATTCAACATAATCCATTAAACCTTTTGTTATGTCCGAAAAGAATGACATAAAAGTAACACTAATACAACTAGGAGAAAAAAAGGACCCCATCAAAAGCTCTTGCAACTCCCATTTGAGAAACATAATAAAAGTCAAGCATTGAATACTTCAGGAAATCCCTATTATAAAAAAAAAATGAAACATTATACTTGTGACCTGTTGGTAAAGATTTATATCTTAAGTATGAAACAATATTCTTGGATCTGAGAGACGTAGATATGCTGGGGATATCATGTTTCATTTTGGTCTTTTAGTGGGATGTGTTGCAAAATGGCAGCAGGATCCTTGAAAAGGTGTTCTCTCTTTTGTTATTTTAAGAATCGACTGAACATCACCAGGGAAATGAAATGTTGCGTTCAGGTTCAGATGAGGATTTAGGGATATATTTTGCTCTCCTGCGAGCTGTAACGGCTAACCTGCCTCAGACCTAACCTCTTATGCAACTGCAAGAATTGGCGAGAGGCTGAGAGCGGGGGATATCGTCTCTGAAGAGCAAATGTTTATTTTCAGACTCGATCTTAATAGTTCAGAGTCGGCATTCACATCCGCCACAAGCAAACTCTTCTTCTGCTTCTTGTTTTTTTAAATCCTCTTCTTCTAAAATCTTATATTCTTTAATCGTCTTTTTCTGTTTCTAAAATCTTCTTAATCTTTATCTCCTTCAACTAAAATCATCTTTTAAGAAATGTTTCTTCTGAAATCTACTAAAGTGTTAGCTTTAAAATGTCCAATATTATGCAGAACGGCCATTTTCAGAATACCTTTTTAATAATATGATTATTATTAAATCATCGAAGCATTCATGACTTTAATGCTGACTATCTGAACACACAGTAAAGTGCCATCATGTATTTGATTAATAATCTGAATCTGTAAAATACCTGAAGCCATGAATTTATTTAGTGGTGTTAAAAAGTATTTTCTTCTCGCTGAAGGTCTTGTTGTCCTCAAGGTCAAAGGTCATGGAGAGAGTGTGGCACTTGAAGTCTTGATTTAAATGTGAACAAACTCCACTCGCTGCGCTGAGGGTTTCAATAAGTGGTTATAAAAGCCTTGGACGTCATTTAGAGCAGCGTTTCTCCACCCGTAGGCAGGGACTCTGCAGTGCGTCATCAACATTATTAATATAACCGGAAGAAGGAAACTTGAGAAGCTTTTCTTCACTCTGCAATAACAGCTTTTATTGTGGGAGAAAGGCATTTGGCAGCCTCTCAGCCTCTGACATTTAATAAATAGGACATGGTATTGAAGCTCATACCCTTTTTGAATACTACTGGGTTATCAAACTGACTGTTACTGATTATTACCATCAAATTCTTAGTCTTCTTTGCTTGTAATATTCTGATTTAGTTGATCTCTTGAATGGTTCCCGTTTGTGTACGGTACATTATGGCTGGTTTCGGGCTGCAACTCAAATCATATTTTCATTATTGACTAATAATGAAGCCATTTCATTTCATTGTTTATTTGAATAAGGACAATGCACATTAATGAACACTTAAGACAAATAATGCTTCAAGTGTAAATATGCCGGATTTGAGCTTTGAGCTAATTTTCCATCTGCAGTCCCTCACATACAACATATAAGAACATGACATTTATAAAGATAGCAAAAATAAATACATGATATGCAAAAAGAGCAAGATCAGCATACACATGCATTAACCACATGGCAGTACAATATAGCATATACGACATATACAGTGCAAGAGAAGATACAAGAGCTACATAATGTGCAGGAGGAGATACCCATGTGTTAAAGTGCATTTAGCGGTGATTGCACGTCTGTTTGTTTCTCAATCATTCTTTGAGTTGATGTTTCTACAATCATTCTTTGAGTTGACCTTTAAAGCTATTTGAGAGTGGGGACAATCCCGTATCTCAGTTGGGAGGCTATTCCACGATGAGCTGCCTTTAATGGAGAGGACATTTTGTCCAAAAGTGGTCCGTCTACGGTAGGGATGGGAATTTGAAAGCAAATGTATATTCGAATATTCGACCCCCAAAAAAACGGTCAACCGAAAAGTACATATCCTATAAAAATATTAAAATAACTACATGTTCAAATAAGTATAGAAACCAAGTCCAATTTGTCAAATGTATTGAACTGGTGATCACAGTTTGAACAGTTGACAGCTATAGGCCTACAGCTTTCATGCTTAAAACATAAGTTGGTTTTTAAATGAAAGAGGGATCATACACGAACAACATAACGGGTTAGGGTAACGTAACCCTATCACAACAGAGATCAACAACCTGTAACAGGGCCTATGCATAGAATGCAGCTATTCAATACTCCTTCTTGTTTAAGAATATGGCCATTTCTACATGCTCAGCGGAGAGGCGGGTGCGGAGGCGATTCACAATCAGGCCAGCTGTAGAGAAGACCCTCTCAGCTGGAATTTGGGCATAAGGAAAGGTTTGAGTCTGCGTGACCTGCGTGTAGGGAGGGGCAGCAGCCATATCATTAGCTAGATCTGATGGATTTGGACATAAACGCGAGTGAAGTATAACTGGACGCGAGAGAGAGATCAGCACATGCAGCTCTGCCCGCTGTGAGGGACCGGTGAGCGGAGCAAAACACACCTTTTAGACCTAACACATTTAGCTATGG